AAAGGCAGAAATAGCCACCGCGGCCCACCTGCACCAGCCCCGCCCCCTGGAAACAGCCCCCCCCGCCTGGGACTTCCTGTGGCCTCCGCAGCATCCCTGGGGCGGGGCAGCACCAAACGGGCTCCCAACCCTCCCGCCGCTAGCCCAGCCGGTGCCCCTCACTCCCGACCCGCAGCCCCCTGCTAGCCCAGCCGGTGCCCCTCACTCCCGACCCGCAGCCCCCTGCTAGCCCAGCCCAGCCCTGCCCTGCCGGTGCCCCTCACTCCCGACCCGCAGCCCCCTGCTAGCCCAGCCCAGCCCTGCCCTGCCGGTGCCCCTCACTCCCGACCCGCAGCCCTCTGCTAGCCCAGCCGGTGCCCCTCACTCCCGACCCGCAGCCCTCTGCTAGCCCAGCCGGTGCCCCTCACTCCCGACCCGCAGCCCCCTGCTAGCCCAGCCCAGCCCTGCCCAGCCGGTGCCCCTCACTCCCAACCCGCAGCCCCCTGCTAACAGCCCCGGTCCACCACCCACAAGCCGGCCGGCGCCCCTCACTCCCGACCCGCAGCCCCCTGCTAACAGCCCCGGACCACCACCCACAAGCCGGCCGGCGCCCCTCACTCCAGCCCCCTGCTAACAGCCCCGGACCACCACCCACAAGCCGGCCGGCGCCCCTCACTCCAGCCCCCTGCTAACAGCCCCGGACCACCACCCACAGCCCGGCCGGCGCCCCTCACTCCCTCCCCGCAGCCCCCTGCTAACAGCCCCGGACCACCACCCACAGCCCGGCCGGCGCCCCTCACTCCCGCCCCGCAGCCCCTGCTAGCCCAGCCCTGGTCCTGCTCTCACCCCCAATCTCCGCAGGATGCGGCGGCGAGATCCGGGCAGTGCCCCCAGCCTGGGCGACCGCGTCCCCTACGTCATCGTGAGCGCGGCCAAGGGGGTGGCGGCCTACATGAAATCGGAGGTGAGTGTCGGGGGGTTGCCCATGGGGCTGGGGGAGGGGGACGTTGCCAGATGGTTTGGGGGGGGTCCCTGCGGCCCCCCTGCTCTGACCGCCCCCCCCCCCACGCCTCCCGCAGGACCCCATCTACGTGCTGGAGAACAACATGCCGATCGACACCCAGTACTACCTGGAGCAGCAGCTGGCCAAGCCCCTGCTGCGCGTCTTCGAGCCCATCCTGGGCGAGGGCCGGGCCGAGAGCGTCCTGCTGAGTGAGTGGCCCCCCGACCCCTGTCCCGGGGGCGCCCTCGGGCCCCCCGCTGAGCCCCTCCCTGGTTTCCCCCACTGACCCCCTCCCCGGGGCGTGCTCGGGCCCCCCATTGACACTCCGCCCCCAGGGGCGAGCTCAGCTCCCTCCCTTGAGCATTGGGGGGCCCGGCCCTGACCCGTCTTTCCCCACAGGAGGGGAGCACACGCGCTGCAAAACCGTCCTGACCTCCCGGGTCGGGGGGCTCATGGCCTTCGCCACCAAACGCAGCACGTGCCTTGGCTGCCGCGCCAGCCTGCCCCACCACGGTGAGTCCGTACCCCCCCCCCGGGTACCCCCGCGTCCCCTGCCCCACCGTGGTGAGTCCGTACCCCCCCCCGGGTACCCCCGCATCCCCTGCCCCACCACGGTGAGTCCGTACCCCCCCCCGGGTACCCCCTACGTCCCCCTGTGCACCCCTGCCCCACTATGGTGAGTGGCCCCCCCATGTCCCCCCACACATCCTGTGCTCCACCATGGTGACCCACCCCATGCCCCTCTTCCCCATGCCAAGTTAACCCCCCAGCCTGCGAGCCCCCGCTGCCTCCCCCGCCCCCATCAGAGCATGTGACACCCCTCCCCCACATCCCTGCCCGGGTGGGGTGGGCGGGGAGCTGGTGGTTCCGGGCCAGCGGGTGGCGCAAGATTCTGCGGGGCGGGGGGGTGTCTCCAGGGTTTTGTAACCGGAGAAAAGCCCCGGGCCAGGTTCTCCAAACTCCCCTGCTCCCCCGCTGGGGGACCCCACCCCAAGCCTGAGTCCCACTGGGAGCCCCCTGCCCCCCCTCCCCCGGGTGACCTCTGAGTCCTGCTGGGGGACCCTGAGCCCCCCTGCCCCCCAGGTAACATCTGAGTCCCGCCCCTCCCACCAGGGGCAGAGCTGGGAGGCTGCTCAGGGGTGCGGTCCAGGGATGGGGAGCTAGTGGGAGCCCCAGGGTCACTGGGGAGGGCTTGGGTCAAGGGGGGCCCCGGCGGGTGGGTCGTTGACGTGTCTCCCCACAGGTGCAGTGTGTGAGTTCTGCGTGGGGCACCAGTCGGAGCTGTACCAGAAGGAGGTGAGCTGGGGGGACGTGTGGGTCTCACCATGGCCAGGGGGGTGGGGCGCCAAACATGCTGTGGGGCTGGGATGGATGCGTGTCTGGGGGTTAAAGTACAGGGGCGGGGGCTGGGAGCCCGGATGCCTGGGTTCTCTCCCTGGCTCTGGGAGGGGAGCGGGGGCTGGTGGTTAGAGCAGGGGGGGCTGGGAGCCTTGAGGTGAAGGCTTCAGGCCCAGCCCCTGTCCTGAGGTGGGGGGGCTGTGTTGGGGGAGATGCTGTGTCTAACCCCCCCAATCGGATCCCCCCCAGATCTCTCATCTCGCGGGGCTGGAGGAGAAGTTCTCCCGTCTCTGGACCCAGTGTCAGCGCTGTCAGGGCAGCCTCCACGAAGACGTCCTGTGCACCAGGTACGGCCCCGCCCATCGGGGGGCAGGGTGGGGGGCAGGCGGCAGGCAGGGCTGGCCAGGTCCTTGGGGGCAGGCAGGGCTGGCCAGGGTGCTGGCTTGCCTGAGAGTGGGGCAGGTGGGTACCGGGGGCGGGGGGGCTGGGAGTGGGGCGGGTACTGGGGGGGGAGGGGGGTTGGCCGGGTACTGGGGGGCAGACAGGGATGGTCATGGGGCTGGCCAGGCCGGGAGTGGGGCAGGTGGGTACCGGGGGGCAGGGGAGGCTGGTCAGGTCCTGGGGGGCAGGCAGGGATGGTCGGGGGGCAGGCGGGTCCTGTGGGGCAGGCAGGGATGGTCGGGGGGCTGGCCAGGCCGGGAGTGGGGCAGGCAGGTGCTCTGCTCCCAGCCCCTCCCTCGGGGCAGCCGGTTCCCACGGGAGCCAGGGGCTGAAATATGGTTTTATGCCCCGGCCCCCCCGCCCCCCCATGGCGTTTACAGCCGCTTATCGGGCTGCGTAAACAGCTGGCTCCCACGGGGGGGGCCGGGGGGGTGGGAACGCCGGGCCCCGGGGCCGCTGATTGCCCTGGCTGGCGTCTTTATGGCCCTATAAATCCAGCACCTGCTGCTGCGGCCTCCCCCGCCAACCCCCCCCCACGCTGCTGGGGGCAGGGCTCAGTTCACCCCAAGCACCCCAAAAATCTCTGGGCTCCCTCCTCGGGTCCCCCTTCTGCACTGAGCCTCCGCACTCCCGGCCCCAAGCCCCCGTTTGTCTCTGCTGCCCCCTGTCATCGCTGTTCCCCCTGACCCCGTCTTCTCCCATGTCCCGTCCCCCCCCAGCCAGGACTGTCCCCCATCTCTCCCCCACACACTGACCCCCCTCTTCTCTCGTCCCCCCACAGCCGGGACTGCCCCATCTTCTACATGCGCAAGAAGGTGCAGAAAGACCTGGATGACCAGGAGCGGCTGGTGGCGCGATTCGGCCCCCCCACGTGGTGACCGGGGGCCCCCCGCTGGCAGGGGGGCAGGACACGGGGGCTCAGCCCCTCCCTCACCAAGGGTGGTTCCACCCGGGAGGGGGCTGGGGGGGCCATTGGGAGCTTTGTAATTTTGTATTTTCTACTGGGAATAAAGACTCTTCTTTTCAATGCTGGGAACTTCTCCTGGTTTATGGGGCATCAGGACTCCTGGGTTCCCTCCCCAGTTCTGGGAGGGGAGCGAGGGCTAGTGGTTAGACCAGGAGGCTGAGAGCCAGGACTCCGGGGTTCTCTCCCTGGCTCTGGGAAGAGAGTGGGGGCTAGTGGTTAGGGCAGGGGTGGGAGGGAGCCATGACTCCTGGGTTCACTCTCTGGACTCTGCCTGAGCCCCTCCCCCATACCATGAGGAGGGTGAAGCCCCACAGGGAGTCTGGGAACCCAGCTTCCCCCCTCACCCCTCTGCCTGCAGCTGGCTGTCAGCCTGCCCCATAGCATCCCCCTGGCTCCGGGGCTGCTGGAGAAGTGGGGGTCGCTGGGCGTTCTGTAGAGAATGGGGGAGCTCCTCACTTCCCCCTCCTTCCCTGCCCAGGCTGCAGCAACGGGCTCACCCATGCCCCCCAGCAGCCCCCCCACATGCCGGATGCAACGTGATGTTGGGGGGAGATAAGGGGCGGCCGATAAGCTCCTTTCGCAAGCGATTCACGTGGACTCACGAGGGGGGCTGAGCTCGTGGGAGATGCAGCCACCTCTGGGCTGGGGTGTGGGGGCTGCTTTAAAAGGGGACCCCTTGCCCCGATGCGGCGCCTTGGGTGGGGTGTGGGGGGGCTGGTTACACAGCTGTTTGGGACAGGAAGTGAAGGAGACTCCCACATCCTGGTATCACCCCAGTCCCCAGAGCTGGGGTTCAGCTGGAAGTAGGGGGGGCAGGGCCAGGCTTGGGGGGCAGCGTGACCTGCATGGATTCCTCCCTGGAGGGGGAAGGCCTCACGGCCTGGAGTTTCCTATCCCCGCTCACCGGGATGGGCAGGAATTGGGGGGGGGGGGGAGAGGGGGTGGGGGTTGGGGTCAGAGCCTGGTTAACAGGCTCCTGCCGGATGGGGCATGCTTGTGGGGTGTCTGGGGTGGGGGGCACAGGCCAGCGGGGGGAACTGGGCTGCCCCTCTGCACCGACTCCCCTCGGGGGCCTTGCCCCCCATCTCATGGCCAGGGGGAGGAACTGGTCCCATTCCCATACCCGCCCCCACTGCTCCCCCTCACGTTGGTCCGTGTCTCTTTCCTGGCACAAGTGTCTGATTGTGCAACGCCCGGCCCCGCCCCGCCGGGGGATTTCTGCTGTGAGCTCACCCCCCCCCTGTGCCGTATAAAACCGAGTGGCAGCCACTGGCCAGTGCAGACGCCCCGATTCCCCCCCCTGGCGCGCACGGAGCCCCCCAGCCCCGAGGATGCTCACACTTGAATCGGCACCGTAAGTGTGTGTGTTGGGGGGGCAGAGTGGGGCAAAGGGCTTGTCCCCTCTAGGGGGCGCTGGCTCCAATCCACCCCCAGGGCAGGGGCCTAGCTGGCTCAGGGGGGCAGGGGATGGGGCCTGTCCCCTCGAGGGGGTGCTGGCTCCCCTCCGGAGGGCAGGGGGATGGGTGTGATGTTTCGGGGGTGGCCCCTGGCCCTCACCCCGGCAGGACAGAGGTGTCTGATCGGGTCTGCCCCTCAGCTGTGGGGTGGGGCAGCTGCCAGGCAGGGGTGGGGGGCGGGGGGCGCTCCTCTCCCCACAGTGCAAGTCATTTTGGGCTGGCCCCTCTCCCCTGCCCTGTCCTGACCCCAAAGACAGGTCACGCCCCCTCCCCCCTCTAGCCTGCACCTGAAGTGTGTGTATGTGGGGGGTGAGTCAGAGGAGGGATGTGGGGGGGCAGCTCTTGTTGGGGGCACTGGTGGGGGTCTGTCTGTGCAGAAGGATTTCGGGGGGGGGGTCTGTTCCCATGCACCAAAGCCCCCCCCCACCCTGAGCACAGTGGCAGGTGCCCCCTTTCCCCACCCCTTCACTTTCTCTCTCCCCCCATGCAAATTTGGGGGGGGGATTTGAATATTTCCTCTCTCTGGGGAAAGTGGAACAGAGACGAGTCATTTGCATGTGAAGGGGGGGGCTCCACCTGCCTGCTTCCGCCCCCTACCCTGGCCAGGCTGCTGCCCCCCCAGCCAGGCCCCTACACTGTCAGCGTCTGCTCTGCCCCCTGGCTGGGCCTGGGGCTGTTCCCACATGCTGGGGGTGGGGGTATGGACCCCTATAGAGCTGGGGGGGGCTGGGTTTGGTGCACCCCTCACCCCCCACTTTAACCTCTGCCTGCCCCCTGTCCCTGCAGGTTCGATGGGTCCCACTATGGATATACGGTAAGACCGGCCCCTGCACCCCCGAATTGCCTGCCTGTCCCCACTTTGCCCCACAGCTCCACCCCCCCCAGCTCCCTTCACCCCTCATTTACATAAAACCCAGACACCCTCCCCCCACTACCCCATTTCCTTAGACATTGTCTGTGGTGAAAACCCCACCCCTCAGGACTCCTGGGTTCTGTCCGGGCTGTGAGAGGGGATGGGGGCCCAGGCGTGGGGTGTGCTGGGCACCAGGACTCCTGGGTTCTCTCACCGGCTCTGGGAGGGAAGTGGGGTCTACTGGATGGTGGGGGTGGGGGGGAGCCAGGACCCCTGGGTTCTCTCCTGGCTCTGAGAGGGGAGTGGGGTCTCGTGGATGGGGCCGGGGGGTTGGGTGCCAGGACTCCTGGGTTCTCTCCTGGCTCTGAGAGGGGAGTGGGGTCTCGTGGATGGGGCCGGGGGGTTGGGTGCCAGGACTCCTGGGTTCTCTCCTGGCTCTGAGAGGGGAGTGGGGTCTCGTGGATGGGGCCGGGGGTTGGGTGCCAGGACTCCTGGGTTCTCTCCTGGCTCTGAGAGGGGAGTGGGGTCTCGTGGATGGGGCCGGGGGTGCCAGGACTCCTGGGTTCTCTCCTGGCTCTGAGAGGGGAGTGGGGTCTCGTGGATGGGGCCGGGGGGTTGGGTGCCAGGACTCCTGGGTTCTCTCCTGGCTCTGAGAGGGGAGTGGGGTCTCGTGGATGGGGCTGGAGGGTTGGGTGCCAGGACTCCTGGGTTCTCTCCTGGCTCTGAGAGGGGAGTAGGGTCTAGTGGATGGGGATGGGTGCCAGGACTCCTGGGTTCTCTCTCTGGGGGTGGGGCCTGGTGCTCGAAGGCGGGTGCTCTCATTCTGTGCCCCTCCCCAGTTCCCCGAAGGCAGCTTGTATGACCTGGACTCCTGCAAACAGACCCCGAGCTTCCCTCACTACCTGATCGACGCCGAGGGCCCCACAGGTGAGACCCCCCATGTCCCACCTAGCACCCTGCCCCCTGGGGCGCCACTGATTTCCCCCAGCGCGTCACAGCGCCCCCTGGCGGGGAGAGGGCAGGGACTCAGGGATTCCCCATGACGTCACGGCTCTTTCTGCCCCCCTCCCGGGGAGGGAAGGGGCGGGTTCGTATCATGCAAATTACATGGCTCTGGGATTTGCGTATTTCCAGCCCTGCAGGCCCGAGGGACACAAAGGGCCTTTCTCTGGGCTTCCTGCCCCCCCACCACACCTGGGAGCCGGACGCCTGGGTTCTCTGCCCAGCTCTGGGAGGGGAGTGGGGTCTAGTGGTTAGAGCAGGGGAGCTGGGAGCCAGGACACCTGGGTTCTCTGTCTGGCTCTGGGAAGGGAGCGAGGTCTAATGGTTAGAGCGGGGGGGGGGGGGCTGGGAGCCGGATGCCTGGGTTCTCTCCCCAGCTGTGTGAGGGGAGTGGGGGCTGGTGGTTAGAGCAGGGGGGGCTGGGAGCCAGGATTCCTGGGTTCTCTCCCTATCTCATGCTCCCCCCCCCGCCCGCTTTGCTTTGCAGACCCTGTTGTGAACTGGCTGGAGCTGCAGGATCTTGGCTACGAGGCCTTCGATTCGGGGCAGCTGGCCCCACTGCAGAATGTCCAGGTCTCCTACACGCATGGTCCCTACCCACAGCTCTCGCTGGAGGCCGTCTACAGCCTGGAGGGGGCGCCGCCAGCCCAGAGCCACCTGCCGCTGGACGACTACAGCGCCCAGGTGAGGGGCACTGCCTGGGGCTGGGGCCCAGGACTCCTGGGTTCTCTCCCTGGCTCTGGGAGGGGAGTTGGGTCTAGTGGTTAGAACGGGGGGTGGGAGGCAAATCCTTGCGTGTCCTGTGTGAGGGGCTTCATTGAAGGGGTCCTGGCTGGGGTGGAGGGAGGGGGGCTGGGGTGGGGGGCAGGGAAGGTTTTCTGTCATCTGCTCCAGGCACATTCCCCTTGCTGGGCCCATTAAGCCCTTCTCCTGCTCCCCTCAGCCCTGTGCCCCCTACGGGCCCTGCCCCCCATCCGGCGCCCTGGCCAGCCCCCCGGTCTCCGAGGATGAGGAGTTCCCCCTGGAAAGCCCGGCCCTGGAGGTGTCCGACAGCGACTCGGACGAGAACCTGTCGCCAGAGGGGTCGCCCGGCTACGAGGCGGGTAGGTGCCAGCAGGGGGGGTGCCCCCGTGTCCCCAGCTCCCGGCCCGCTCGGTCCCACCCGCCCCGGGGAGAGTGGCAGGACCCGCCACATCCCGCCCGTACGTGATCGTGACCCCCGTCCCCCCGACAGGTCCCGCCCGGTACGTGGACATGACCCCCCCCCCATCCACTCGCTGCATCCCACCCGGTATGTGGACTTGACCCCGTCCCCCACCTCCCACATCCTGCCCGGGACACGGACGAGACCCCGTCCCGTCCCCACCACCACGTCCCACCCGGGACACGGACCTAACTCCATCCTGCCCCTCCACGTCCGGCCTGGAAGGTGGACGTGACCCCCCCACCACCACATCCCGCCCGGTACGTGGACATGACCCCGTCCCGTCCCCCCCCCATCCCCCTCGTGGTACCTCCCGTCCCCCCACCACATCCCGCCCGGTACGTGGACATGACCCCGTCCCGTCCCCCCCACCACATCCCGCCCGGTACGTGGACATGACCCCGTCCCGTCCCCCCACCACATCCCGCCCTGGTACGTGGACATGACCCCCTCCCCACATCCCATCCGGTACACGGTCGTAACCCTTTTCCCCTCTGCCTGTACCCCCCCGGTATGTGGATGTGCCCCAACTTCTCCTGCCTGAGACCCCGTCCCCCCCATACTGTACCCCTCTCTTTCCAGTGTGTAGATGTGTCTCCCGCCCTTTGGCCTTCGCTGGCCTGCCCCTCACAACCCTTAGACACAACCTGTGTCCCCCCCGCCCCCCCAGACATGCCCACGTCCCTCGGGCTGGCTCCACCCCCTCCGGGTTTGTGTAGTGTCCTGGTCCACCCCCATATCCTCCCCCCCAGCACGTGGACACGGCCCCGTCCGCCCCCCAGCACGTGGACACAGCCCTATCCCCTCCGCTATATCCCAACCCTCCCAGCATGTGGACACAACCCCCTCTGCCCCCCCCCAGCATGTGGACACGTCTCTGTCCCACCCCTCCCAGCCCATAAACACAATCCTGTCTGACCCCCCCAACCTGTGGACACAACCCCGTCCGCCCCCCCCAGCCTGTAGACACAATCCTGTCTGGACCCCCCCAGCTTGTAGACACAACCCTGTCCCACCCCCACAGCCGGTGGGCACCTCCCTGTCCCGTCCCGCTCCTCCCCTCCCATGATGGCCCCCTCCCCAATGCCCGTGGCCACCCCCCAGCCGGTGGGCACCTCCCTGTCCCGTCCTGCTCCTCCCCTCCCGTGATGGCCCCCTCCCCAATGCCCGTGGCCACCCCCCAGCCGGTGGGCACCTCCCCGTCCCGCCCTGCCCCTCCCCTCCCGTGGCAGAAGCCCCCCCCTTGACGCCCGTGGCCCCACCCCCAGCCAGTGGGCACCTCCCCGTCCCCCCGCCCCTCCCCTCCCGTGGCAGCGGCCCCCCCTTGACGCCCGTGGCCCCACCCCCGCCGGCGGGCACCTCCCCGTCCCCCCCGCCCCGCCCCCTCCCGTGGCTGCGGCCCCCTCGACGCCCGTGGCCCACCCCCCAGCCGGCGGGCACCTCCCCGTCCCCCCGCCCCGCCCCCTCCCATGGCAGCAGCCCCCGCCTTGACGGCCGTGGCCCCACCCCCAGCCGGCGGGCACCTCCCTGTCCCCCCTGCCCCACCCCTCCCGTGGCTGCAGCCCCGCCCTGACGCCCGTGGCCCCATCCCCAGCCGGCGGGCACCTCCCCGTCCCCCCCCGCCCTCCCGTGGCTGCGGCCCCCGCCTTGACGCCCGTGGCCCCACCCCCAGCCGGCGGGCACCTCCCCGTCCCCCCCCCCCCCCCCTCCCGTGGCAGCGCCCCCCCTTGACGCCCGTGGCCCCACCCCCAGCCAGTGGGCACCTCCCCGTCCCCCCCGCCCCGCCCCTCCCGTGGCTGCGGCCCCCCCTTGACGCCCGTGGCCCCACCCCCAGCCGGCGGGCACCTCCCTGTCCTGTCCCGCCCCACCCCTCCCCGTGATGGGCCTCCCCTCGACGCCCGTTGCCACCCCCCAGCCGGTGGGCACCTCCCCGTCCCCCCCGCCCCGCCCCTCCCGTGGCTGCGGCCCCCTTTGACGCCCGTGGCCCCACCCCCTGCCGGCGGGCACCTCCCCGTCCCCCCGCCCCGCCCCCTCCCGTGGCTGCGGCCCCCCCCCGACGCCCGTGGCCCCACCCCCAGCCGGCGGGCCCCTCCCTGTCCTGTCCCGCCCCTCCCGTGATGGGCCTCCCCTCGACACCCGTTGCCACCCCCCAACCGGCGGGCACCTCCCCGTCCCCCCCACCCCGCCCCTCCCATGCAGCGGCCCCCGCCTTGATGCCCGTGGCCCCACCCCCAGCCGGCGGGCACCTCCCTGTCCTGTCCCGCCCGCCCTCCCGTGATGGGCCTCCCCTCGACGCCCGTGCCACCCCCAGCCGGCGGGCACCTCCCCGTCCCCCCGCCCCGCCCCTCCCGTGGCTGCGGCCCCCCCCGACGCCCGTGGCCCCACCCCCAGCCGGCGGGCCCCTCCCTGTCCTGTCCCGCCCCTCCCGTGATGGGCCTCCCCCTCGACGCCCGTTGCCACCCCCCCAACCGGCGGGCACCTCCCCCGTCCCCCCCCACCCCGCCCCTCCCATGGCAGCGGCCCCCGCCTTGATGCCCGTGGCCCCACCCCCAGCCGGCGGGCACCTCCCTGTCCTGTCCCGCCCCGCCCCTCCCGTGATGGGCCTCCCCTCGACGCCCGTTGCCACCCCCCAGCCGGTGGGCACCTCCCCATCCCGCCCTGCCACTCCCCTCCCGTGGCAGAAGCCCCCCTTGACACCCGTGGCCCCACCCCCAGCCGGCGGGCACCTCCCTGTCCTGTCCTGCCCCTCCCGTGATGGGCCTCCCCTCGACGCCCGTTGCCACCCCCCAGCCGGCGGGCACCTCCCCGTCCCCCCCGCCCCGCCCCTCCCGTGGCTGCGGCCCCCCCTGACGCCCGTGGCCCCCGCAGGCTCCCGGCGGAAGTTACGACTCTACCAGTTCCTGCTGGACCTGCTGCAGCGCGGCGCCATGCGGGAGTGTGTGTGGTGGGTGCAGCGTGAGGCCGGCGTCTTCCAGTTCTCCTCCCAGCACAAGGAGCTGCTGGCCCACCGCTGGGGGCAGCAGAAGGGCAATCGCAAGGCCATGACCTACCAGAAGATGGCCCGGGCCCTGCGCAACTACGGCAAGACGGGCGAGGTCCGCAAGGTGAAGAAGAAATTGACCTACCAGTTCGGCCAGGCCCTGCTGGGGCTGCCGGGCGCCCAGGCCCCCTCGTAGGGGGCCAGGCCCCCCGGGCGGCGGGACTGGACAGTGCACTGAGCGGCCCCGGGGCCCTGTGAACAGGCCGCCCTCCCCTCCCCCCCCCGGCCCCCCGAAAGCCACCCCACCGAGGTCTCCCCCAGGAGCCAGGACGCCTGGGTTCCATCCCCGGCTCTGGGAGGGGAGTGGGGGCTAGTGGTTGGAGTGGGGGTGGGGGCTGGGAGCCAGGACGCCTGGGTTCCATCCCCGGCTCTGGGAGGGGAGTGGGGGCTAGTGGTTGGAGTGGGGGTGGGGGCTGGGAGCCAGGACGCCTGGGTTCCATTTCTGGCTCTGGGAGGGGAGTGGGGTTGAATAGATGTCGGGGGGAGCCAGGACGCCTGGGTTCCATCCTTGGCTCTGGGAGGGGAGTGGGGGCTAGTGGTTGGAGTGGGGGTGGGGGCTGGGAGCCAGGACGCCTGGGTTCCATTTCTGGCTCTGGGAGGGGAGTGGGGTTGAATAGATGTCGGGGGGGGAGCCAGGACGCCTGGGTTCCATCCTTGGCTCTGGGAGGGGAGTGGGGGCTAGTGGTTGGAGTGGGGGTGGGGGCTGGGAGCCAGGACGCCTGGGTTCCATTTCTGGCTCTGGGAGGGGAGTGGGGTTGAATAGATGTCGGGGTGGGGGGAGCCAGGACTCCTGGGTTCTCTCCCTGGCTCTGGCCAGGGCTCGTTTTAAATATTCTCTGAGGGGATTCGGCCCCTGGGGGGTGAATACAGAGAGCCGGGCGTATATTTAATGTTCTGCACAGGCACCTCAGAGTTTGTATAAAATCAGGTCTTTGTTTGTTTGTTTTTTAAGCGATTGAGTCTGTATCATTTTGTAAATTCCTAATAAAATCTTGTGAAAAATGGCTTGTTCCCCTGGAATTATAGATCAAATTCCTAGGTGGGGAAAGGGGGGTTAGTGGGTTCGAGACGGTGGGGGTCGGGAGCCAGGACTCCTGGGTTCCATCCCCGGCTCTGGGAGGGGAGTGGGGGCTAGTGGTTAGAGCAGGGGGGGCCAGGAGCCAGGACTCCTGGATTCCATCCCCGGCTCTGGGAGGGGAGTGGGGGCTGGGGGAAGGCAGTGAGGCAGAAGGGGGCAGGGACGGGAGGGGGAAAGACATGATTGCTGTTCCCTGTGGGGCTGGCCCGGGTGCATATGTGGGGGGGATTAACAGCCTTGCTGCTGGACCCCCGCAAGGAGGGCTTGGGGGGAACTCCCCCTCCCAGCAGAGCCCCACGCTCCCCCCAGCTCCCCAAGGGCTGAGGATCCTGCTCTGATGCTGTGCCCCCCCGCCCGGGCCCCTGACCTGGAACTGCCCCCCCCCCCCCAGCTCACAGAGCCCTGGCCAGCAGGAGACCTCCCAGGTCTGACCCCCACCGGGAACTGACTAGTGCCCGCCCCATCTGCTGTCGGTCCCCAGGGGGCGCTGCAGCCCATAGGGAGACACCATCCCTCATTCCCCCCTCCCATCCCCCCCCCAGACCTCATCTGAATCCCTGGGATGGGGAAGGGGTCCCTGGACCAGTGCTGAGATGATTGGGGGGGTGGGGGGCGCGGCTGGGTATTCAGGACCCTTCGCCTGGCTGGGATGCAGCCCCTCTGGGGGGGGGCGCGGGGGGCTGGGTGTACGGGGACCCCTCGCTGGGTGCGGCCGGCTCTGGGGGGAGGCGCGGGGGGCTGGGTGTACGGGGACCCCTCGCTGGGTGCGGCTGGCTCTGGGGGGGGGGCACGGGGGGCTGGGTGTACGGGGACCCTTCGCCGGGCGTGGCCGGCTCTGGGGGGGGGGGCACGGGGGGCTGGGTGTATGGGGACCCCCCCGCTCTGCGGCATGCGGCGTATCCTGGCCCCCGGCCCGGGGATTAGGCAGCAGATGGCCGAGGTGCCTTGGAATTACCAGCGCGCGGCCTGGCCCGGCCCGTGATCCCGGCGCTGACGGACGAAGGGACGCGGCGCTCGGCTCGGGTTTCACGGGCTTCTGTGCCTGGGGCGGGGAGGGGGGTGCCCAGGGGACGGTCGGACCCCGGCCTGCCCCCCGGGGACCGCAACCTGGGGCCGGGTGGGAGCTGGGGCCCCCCGGAGGGGACAGGCCCGTGCCCCATTCCCTGCCCCCCTGAGCCAGCCAGTCCCCGTCCCTGGGGGTGGAGGGGAGCCGGCGCCCCCTAGAGGGGACAGGCCCGTGCCCCATTCCCTGCCCCCCTGAGCCAGCCAGTCCCCGTCCCTGGGGGTGGAGGGGAGCCGGCGCCCCCTAGAGGGGACAGGCCCGTGCCCCATTCCCTGCCCCCCTGAGCCAGCCTGTCCCCGTCCCTGGGGGTGGAGGGGAGCCGGCGCCCCCTAGAGGGGACAGGCCCGTGCCCCATTCCCTGCCCCCCTGAGCCAGCCAGTCTCCACCTTTGGGGGTGGAGGGGAGCAGCACCCCCTAGAGGGGACAGGCCCGTGCCCCATTCCCTGCCCCCCTGAGCCAGCCAGTCTCCACCTTTGGGGGTGGAGGGGAGCAGCACCCCCTAGAGGGTCAGGCCCTGGACCCCATCCCCCCACCCCCGAGCCTGGTGACTTGGAGGTGGGGGGTGTATCTGGCATGTCCTAATTCCGCCCCCCTGTGCCCTAATCACCCCAGGTCCCCCCCACCCCCCAGGCTCCATCCCCCCACCCGGCTGTTTCTCCCAAGGCCAAGCCTGGGATTTAGAGCAGTTGATGGCAGGGCTCAGGAATTTGGCCGGGGGCCTGGGGTCAGGTGACAGCTCCTTGGCGGCCCCCCCATCCCAGAGGGGGGGGCCCCCCTGCTTTAAAGGCCTCAGCCAGGCGCTCCCCGGGGAGACGGCGTTGTCCAGGCCACGCAGCCATGCCTCAGCCAAAGCAAGCCGGTAAGGTGCCCCCCCCACACCTCCACACCGGGGGGGGCACTGACCCTGCCCCCCATCCATTGCAGCCTGGCACCCGTGGGTGCCTGGTGGGCTGCTGCAGGGCACGCAGTCGGGTGCCTGGGCTCTGGGTGCTGGGGTGTTCTTGGGGCTCCCCCCCGGAGTATCTCTGGCTGTCTCATTGGCATGAGGTTCCCCCCACCCTGGACTCCCAGCTGCTGGCCCAGGAACCTGGGGGGGGGGTGGCACAGGCCAAGGCTGACACCCCATTGGGGCAGCCTGTCTCAGAGTGGGATGGTGCCAGGGCTGGGGGGGGGGAGGGTGACAGGGCAGAGGCCCCCCCCTTGGCATTCCAGGTTTGGGGGGGTGCAGCCAGGAGGAGATGTGGGGGCCATGCAGGGGCTGGGAGCAGGATGGGCGCGCTGGCTTGGGGGGGGGGGGCTGCCAGCTGCTGAGGCCCCGGCCTTTCCCAGCGGGTGGTAGGTGGAGGGGGGGCGCTGTGGGGAGCAGGGGGGCAGGCTGCTGCGTGAATTCCTGCACGCACATCCCCGTACCCCCCGAAATACTCCACTGGGTCTGTGTCCCCAGAGTCGCCCTCATCGGGGGCGGTTGGTGGCAGTGGCCCCATTGGGGGGGGCAGAGGTACCTTGGGGTATTGGGGGGCAGGGCCCCCCCAGGCTGGAAAGTTGGGGTGGGCTTAGCTCAGAGGGTTTGTGTGCTGGGGTGTCAATGTCTCTGTTGGGGGGGGTCTCACAGCCTGGAGGGGCCTCTGTGCAGAATAGCTGGTGTGTTGGGGGGCTGGGGGGGGCACGGGCTGCACTGTGTTGCCTGTATGCCCTGCGCAGTGGCTGGGGATAGTGGGATGCGTCTGTGTGTGTACTGGTGTGTGTCTATGCACACAGGGCCATGTGCTCCCTGCCTGCAGGTGTGTGTGAGTCCATCACACAGGGCCGTGTGTGCTGTATGTGTTGGGGTGTGTGTTTAGTGAGGTGTGTCCATCACACTGCTGCATGCATGGAGGTGTGTACGGGGCTGTGTGCGCCGTGTGTGTGTGGAGTGGGGTGTGTGCAGGGCTGTACAGGGCTCCGTGTGTGTGGAGTGGGGTGTGTGGAGGGGTGTACAGGGCTCCGTGTGTGTGTGTGTGTGTGTGGAGTGGTGTTCGGGGCTGTGGGGGTGTGAGTGGGGTGTGTGGAGGGGTGTGGGGGGGGGGAGGGAAGGGGGGTGGGGGGGGTGTGGGGGTGTGAGTGGGGTGTGTGGAGGGGTGTTTGGGGCTGTGGGGGTGTGAGTGGGGTGTGTGGGAGGGGTGTTTGGGGCTGTGGGGGGGGTGTGAGTGGGGTGTGTGGAGTGGGGTGTGTGGAGGGGTGTTTGGGGCTGTGGGGGTGGAGTGGGGTGTGTGGAGGGGTGTTCGGGGCTGTGGGGGTGTGAGTGGGGTGTGGGGGTGTTCGGGCTGGTGTGTGTGGAGTGGGGTGTGTGGAGGGGTGTTCGGGGCTGTGGGGGTGTGAGTGGGGTGTGTGGAGGGGTGTTCGGGACTGTATGTGTGTGGAGTGGGGTGTGTGGAGGGGTGTTTGGGGCTGTGGGGGTGTGAGTGGGGTGTGTGGAGGGGTGTATGGGGCTGTGGGGGTGTGGAGTGGGGTGTGTGGAGGGGTGTTCGGGGCTGTGGGGGTGTGAGTGGGGTGTGTGGAGGGGTGTTCGGGGCTGTGGGGGTGTGAGTGGGGTGTGTGGAGGGGTGTTTGGGGCTGGATGTGTGTGTGTGTGAGGTGTGTGGAGGGGTGTTGGGGCTGTGGGGGTGTGAGTGGGGTGTGTGGAGGGCTGTTCGGGACTGTATGTGTGTGGAGTGGGGTGTGTGGAGGGGTGTTCGGGGCTGTGGGGGTGTGAGTGGGGTGTGTGGAGGGGTGTTTGGGGCTGTGTGGTGTGGAGTGGGGTGTGTGGAGGGGTGTTCGGGGGCTGTGGGGGTGTGAGTGGGGTGTGTGCAGGGGTGTACAGGGCTCTGTGTGTGGAGTGGGGTGTGTGGAGGGGTGTACAGGGCTCCGTGTGTGTGTGTGTGTGTGTGTGTGTGGAGTGGTGTTGGGGCTGTGGGGGTGTGAGTGAGGTGTGTGGAGGGGTGTTCGGGACTGTATGTGTGTGGAGTGGGGTGTGTGGAGGGGGTGTTCGGGGCTGTGGGGGGTGTGAGTGGGGTGTGTGGAGGGGTGTTTGGGGCTGTAGTGTGTGGAGTGGGTGTGTGGAGGGGGTGTATGGGGCTGTGGGGTGTGGAGTGGGGTGTGTGGAGGGGT